AGGGGCCTGATGGATGGTCTTCATCACCTCCAGCACCAAAGGAAGTGCAGCTCTGCCATGCTGTGGGCTAACTCTGGTTAAGGCCAAGCCTCGCCCCGATTTTGGTGGGCTTTAGTGGGATGGGCTTCTCCTGTGCTGGCAAGTTGACAGTCTGAACATCCATTAAAAACACAGAGGCCTTCTTCCCGGAGGCTGCAGCACTACTGGGATCCATTTGTATGGCTCACCCACCCGGAGGCTCGTAATTAGGCAGGATACTTTTCACTCAGATTCCTGTGCCAGCTCAGATCTTGTTGTAAAGCTTTTGTAAATCCTCTGGGAATAGAAAAACTCTTGTACACATGTAACTTGTTTCTTTTGTGTGAAAACATCTCTGGTTGTGAGGCATAGTGCACCCTGCCCTTCAACACCCTGCCTGGCACAGTTTTAAAAAAGTTAAAAACAGGACTTTACAACTAAATTTGACCAGAGAATGCAAAGGACAGCAGGAGTGTTTTTTTTTTCTTCCCCCTTTTGTGGTCAAAGTTGTTGATATTAAAACAACAACAAAAAAACCACTTTGGACTGACCATCATTGTGATCAGTGTACAGCATTTACTAAAACAAAGGTAAAGATAAAATAGCCTATGGTTTCGTCACTCCAGTAAACATTTCATTTTAGAGTTGTTCTTTCCAGACTTTAAAAAATTAGGTTAGGGCCTCCCAGTAGCATAAGGAATTAAGTCTCAGCTCTATGAAGCAATCTGCAGCCACTGCAGCATGAGTTCAATCCCTGGCCAGGGAGCTGACCCATAGGGTGCAGCAGACCTCTCCTGTCACATCTGTGGCTCCCCTCAGCAGTGTCGATCTGCCTCCTCTGCTCCCCACTCTGTCTCTGGTGAATCCTCTCACCTTCCACACCTCTGGCCTGCACCCCAGTTCTTTTGTGCATAAATAAATCTTTTAAAAATAAAAGATAAGGTTATATGAGGTAGAAAGAACACAGATTTGATGGTTTCACAGACTGGCTGCTAGACCTTGGACAAATATTTTTAGGCAGTTCACAGCAAAGATTTCTCATGGAAGAAAAAGAGGCAGACAATAATCACTCAGATTACAGACAAAAATGGGAAACATTTCATGAATTTGCATGTCATCTTTGTGCAGGGGCCATGTTAATCTTCCCTGTGGGGTTCCATTTAGGGTATGTATTGCCAAAGCAAGCAGTTCCATCATCTGTAACATGGGTGGATAAACCCTGTATTTGATGCCAGTCAAGGAGTGAGAAAACTGGTGAAAGCACTAGAATACCTGGCACATATTGGTACTCAGTGCACGGCACACTCACTGCCTGAGAGTACAGTCTGCAGCAACATAGCCTATATTTTTAACTTAACACAAACATTGTCTTAAGAGTCCTTAAGCTCTCTGCATTCCATCATTAGGAGGATGTACTATAATTTATTTAAGAACTCTTATAAGATGTTTAGGTTGCCTCCATATTGAAGTTTTTTTTCGTGGCCAATTATAATAGTAATAATTCTCATAATTAAGAACACCTTAAATAGCTTCTCATTAGGAACTGAAACAAATTAGGTTTTTGAACTGTAGTTTCTTGAAAGCTTAGCTTGTTGCAGAGAATGTGTGCCTTGAGAGGCTGCTGGCTGTGTATAATTGCTGTGGTCAAGCAGATACCCACTGGGCATTTCTAGGCATTTCTTCAAATGTGCCCCAGGCCCTCAGAGCAGAAGGTTCTCCTCTCTTGTCCTCTGGTGTTTCAAACCTTCTGAGATACTCATACTCTCTGGAAATCCCTCTGGGATTTGAGGAGCTGTAGACTTTATCTGGGTCAGCATAAGCTCTGCCTTCAGGGGGTTCCTGTTCTAGTGGGGAGGCAGGCACTGAAACCAATAAATGCAGTTGAGTTCAGAGAGTAGAATATGTGATGAAGCCACCCAGGAGGGTGGAGTCCACTCTTTCTTTCTGGTGAGGGTGTGGGTCAAAGGACTCAGGATAGGGAGTGCAGTGACTGAGTCTGGAAAAATGGACAGGTTTGCTTGGGACCTTGTGTGGCGAGAGGACTGGAGTCTGGACACATGCACCAATGGGACTGATGACTGGGAGATGAAAAATAGCACTAGAATTTGATGTGACTAGACATAGCTACTGAAGGCATTTGAATGGGACAGTGGTGATCTTGGAGGGCCATGACTTCCTCATCTCTGGGTCTCCGTTACCTCAGGGGGCCTCATAGGCCCATTGTCTGTGGAAGCTGAAGATGTTTGTGAAAGCTTTAACTGAATTTCTTCTTTTTTTAAGATTTTTTAAATTTATGCATAGAACTGGGGTATAGGTCAGAGGAGCAGGGGCCATGAGAAGATTCACCAAAGACAGAGTGGGGAGCAGAACAGGCAGATTGACAAAGTACACTGCTGAGGGGAGCAGTGGATGAGACAGGAGAGGTCTGCTGGGCCATGTGGATCACCTCTAGGGTGGGGATCGAACTCACTGAGGTGACTGTGGCTAGCTTGCAGTGCTGCGTCCTAACCCATTCTGCCACCAGGGAGGGCCCTCTTTTTCTTCTAAAAAGAATTATTTATGCATACAAGAATTGTGGTGTAGGCCAGAGGTATAGAGGTGAGAGGATTCCCCAGAGACAGAATGGGTTGCAGAACAGGCAGAGCTACTGAAATACACTGCTGAAGAGAGCAGCAGGTGAGACAGAAAAGGTCTGCTGTGCTTTGTAGGTCATCTCTCTGGCCAGCCTGAGTGATAGCTTGATAGCGCTGAGACTTTAACTCCTGCACCACCAGGGAGGCCCGTAACTGAATTTCTTGACTCTGTTTCTGAGGTTGTCTGCCAGAAATCTGTGAGTTGGTTCATCTGGGGCTGTGTGGACTTGCTGGAGCATCCCCATGTGCTGATATATGGGAGACCTGGATGCCTGAGAAATGAGTGATGCCTGTCAGGAGGGGCCAGGAGGGAAGTCCCGGTTTAGAAGTAGTTGGCACTGAAACCAGTCCTGTGATTTGTACCTGGATGTGGTTACAGAGACTTCTAATTGCAGGCTCTGAGCTAAGCCAGCCTTCCCAAGGGCATCTCGGTCTAATCCTCTGGGGCGGTATATGTGCTTTTGTTGGAGCAGTTGGTGCTCTTCAACTGGAGCAGTGGCAGGTGTTCAGAGTTATTGCAGGCCTGACTCACCCCCTGCATTCCCATGCTGTGCAGTTCAGCGCCGCCCTGGGCCACCACTCCTCACCATACTTGGGTGGGTAGGTGTGGGGCTGAGGGGGCAGGGAGAGGAAGGGAGGCCAAGATTTGCTCAGTATCTGCTGTGTACCTGGTGCCGTGCTGGGTGCTTTAGACATGCCTGTCTTAACCCCCATGAAAAGCACTTAGGATAGATGTGGTGTCTCCATTTCCAGTGAAAGGAACCTGGTCAGAGAGGCCACCATCAGATGGTAGTGAATGGATTTGAGTAAGTAGCATTTTGGCACCTTTTCTGTGACACTCCAGATCTTTCTTTCTTTTGGGGTAGATGTCCTTGGTCCCCTCATTAAAATCTTGATGGTGTAGTACGTAGTACAACAGCAAAAGTCCAGTGTCCCAGCTTTATGATTAACTGTTTAAGTAAGTAAGTTGTTATAACTGCCTGGGCCTTGGTTTCCTCATCTGCAAAGTAAGAATCAAGTAAGAATCAAATTTGATGTATATTCTTCGGCGGGGAGGGGCGGTTGGAATCAGAACAGATGGTCTGATGAGGAACACGGTTAGCACCAGGGCCCTTCATGGACATGGCATGACACTGGAAGGTGCTCGGAGCTGGCTGTTCTCTCTGCCTTCCTATTTCTTCCTTTAAGCAGGACCTATAAATGGAGCCCACAGTAGAGTTCAGACTGAGTTCCTTTCTAAGAAAACAGGTGTTCAGAGCTGGATTCATTTGGGTTTGCTCTGTGTGTGCCCCTTGTTAGTAAAAGTGTGTTCTCCAGTAAGACCTTGACCTTCTGAGCCTTGGCTTCCTGTCCATAAAGTAGGAGAAATGTTATTTTGTTTGCTTGCTAGGCTTCAATGAGACCTGTGCATTTGGTGTTTGTCACTAAACATTGGTTCTCATTCACCTGGCATGCTTGAGCTGGCAGCCTGAGGATACCAAGATACAGCCTCTTTTCCCTTTTACAGCTGCAGGTGTATCATCCACTTTCAGTCAGCCATGTGACAATGTCCGTGTTGAGAGCTGGTCATACTTCTGTGGACCAGACCCTCTCCTGGGTTGCTATTACCTAGTGTGTGGGTCAGGTTATAGGACTCACCATATTCATCGGTGCATGTGGTCCTTAACAGTGCTGACTGGCCCTGTGGAGAAGTTCATGTGCAAGGTGGCCAGGTAAAGTGTTCCTGAGGGACAGACAGATTGGACTTGAAGGATGAGTAGTTTACAACAGCTCTCTGTGACTTTAGTCAGCAAGCTCCAGGCACAGGGAGTAGGGTGGGGAGAGGGCTTTGGCATCTCTGGATTTTAGTGTCTAGGGCCAGACCTATGCTTTGAGTCCCAGTTCCACCATTGGTCTTTTCTGAAACATACTCTCTCCTACCCCCAGAGGTATAGCATATTGGGTATTGTTAGTGTCTCACAGACAGACCTGCTTTGGAAACCTTAGAAACCTGAAAGATATAAGGGATCATCATGGCCTCATCCCCGAAGGATTTGGGGTAACTCATACATACAGTATAGAAGGATTTGTTAAGTCCTTGGTCACAGAATGATGGGTAAGAAGGTAGAAGCTGGGCTGGTAATTAGCACTCAAAATTCACTGTATCTTCTAGAATATTTGTAAGGAGGTAGGCTGTTTGATTGACTGAATGCTTCCTAACTGAGCAGAGAGGCAGAATCAGGTACTTGATTCACGATACCCTCAGAGTATAAGGTGAAATGTGGAAATGCTTGCTTTCCCCCCCTGCACTAAGACTGCTTCTGGTGGACTGCTGTGTGGTTGATAACTGCTTGTTTGTCCTATTTACAGGTCTGCTACATGTGCTGGGCAATGAACCTGACACTCCAGGCCAGAGTGGTCTGAGGCATTTGGGGAAGTAGAGGAAGTTCTGGAGAAGATGGCCATGGCCCCTAGTCCTTCCCTGCCTCAAGTGTACACCAACCCCGTGGCAGTGGCTGTGTGGGAATGGCAGGATGGACTGGGTACCTGGCACCCCTACAGTGCCACTGTCTGCAGCTATATTGAACAGCAATTTGTCCAGCAGAAGGGCCAGCGTTTTGGGCTAGGAAGCCTGGCCCATAGCATCCCTTTGGGCCAGGCTGACCCGTCCCTGGCCCCTTATATCATTGACCTTCCCAGCTGGACTCAGTTCCGCCAGGACACTGGTAAGATGCTTTCTGCCTCCAGTATGTATCATGTTGGGGATATAAAATAGAACTCCATCCTGAGACACACTCATGATCAGGCCGTGGGTGCTGTACCATATAGTGTGAAGTAAACCTCTTTGCATAGAAAGCTCCATGGACCACAACACAAGGTCCTTCCCTGCCCTTTCCCCCGGGTCTCCCAAACCAAAAGAGCCTGCCTCCACCTGCAGAGTTCCAGGAGTTCTTCTGGTAGGTAAGTTTTCATGCAGGTGGTACATCCTGCAAGTGATAAGTTCTGGTTGCACTTCAGTAGCTCTGCGACACAGGCAAATTTTACTTTCTTCATTGCACTCATCCTTGGATTTTTGAGAATGGGGCCAGCCACCAGCTTCCTCCCAAAGCTGTGCCTTGCCCCTCTAACCCAGTGGTTCTCAACTGGGAGGATTTTGTCCCCCAGAACATTTGGTTATGTTTGGAGATATTTTTGATCATCATGACTTGGCGAAGGAAGGTTACCATTGGCATCTAGTCACTGTGACCAGGGATGCCGCTAAATGATCCTACAGCGCACCAGGCTAGCTCTGCAACAAAGGGTGATGGCCCAGAGTGTCTCCCTGCTCTCATCCCTGTGAGCACACTCCCTGGGTGTGTGAAGATGAAAGCTCCCAGTCATTTGCTCGCAGATAAAGGTCCCTGCCTTCGTGATGTTTTAGTCCACTGGGATGAAGTCGATCAGACAAGTGACTTGGAACTGTGTGTGTATTAGATGGCAACAGTGCTCAGCTCAGGGAGAGGAAGCAGGAAGTGTGGGGAGGGTCCATGTGAAATTTGAGGTCAGGTGACCACTTCACCAGGAAGGTGAGACTGGAGAGGAGGGGGGGGGGAGGGCAGGTTGAGCAGGAGGATTTGAGCAAAGATGTCAGAATCTGAATCTGATTAGGGGATTAAAAGTTACCCCGTGGCTTCTGTGGATGGAGGCAAGGGCTGAGACCTTGAGACTAGTAGAAGGTAATTGCAGTAATTGTCTTCCAGCAAGTGCTCTTAGGAACCTGGTGCAAATAGATTTTTCTTAATCTTCAGGTTTGGCTATTTAAAAATATAAGCTAACCACATGGTGATTGCCAGTAGTTGCTACTTAAGAAGTCAGAGCGAATGGTATAGTCATATGAGAGAATTAAGTAACCATTAATAATGCATTTTATGAAATTTTGAGATAAGAAGTGCTCCTGGCAAGAACGTGAGAGTAGCAGGACCCTTTTTCAGTCTACTGTCAGATAACTGAACTCACAAGACTGGAAGACGGGGGAGACTGTTGCATGCCAGTGTCGTGCTTTCCTCTTGGTGGTTGCAATATGAGTGGTTTCATTTTCTTTTTACTTTCTTATTTTCATTGTTTTTAAGTGAATCTAACATTGGTTTATCATTAGAAAGATTTTGAAAAGCCTGATCCAGTTTGAAACTCAGCTATTCTTTGTACTGTATTTCTGCTGAGGTGCCCTGATCCCTTTTGCTCCTTGGTCCCTTTAGGCTGAAGTTTCTTTACCTAGAGAGAACTCTTTCCCTTTCATTCACAGTTAGGAAAGAACACCAAAGCCACTGTATAGGTCAGATAGCAGTGTGATCCTATATCCACTGTGATCACACTGGTTTATTTTGGTTGTGCATAAAGGAATTTTTAAACTGAGGAGACTGGCAGATTAACCATTTATGTGTTATACTCCTGTACTCAGGTACCATGCGGGCTGTGAGGAGGCACCTGTTCCCCCAGCATTCAGCCCCAGGCCTGGGGATCACCTGGGAGTGGCTGAGTGATGACGGCTCCTGGACGGCCTACGAAGCCAGTGTCTGTGACTATCTGGAGCAGCAGGTGGCCCGGGGTAACCAGCTCGTGGACTTGGCTCCCCTTGGGTACAACTACACTGTCAACTACACCACCCACACGCAGACCAACAAGACTTCCAGTTTCTGCCGTAGAGTTCGGCGCCAGGCAGGACCCCCTTATCCGGTGACCACCGTCATTGCTCCGCCGGGCCACATGGGAGTCGCCTGCTCTTGCCACCAGTGCCTCAGCGGCAGCGGAACTGGCCCTGTGTCAGGTCGCTACCGCCACTCCATGACCAACCTCCCTGCATACCCTGTCCCTCAGCCCCCCCACAGGACCACCATTGTCTTTGGGGCCCACCAGGCCTTCGCCCCGTACAACAAGCCCTCACTTTCTGGGGCGAGGTCTGCTCCCAGGCTGAACACCACCAACCCCTGGGGTGGGGCACCGCCCTCGTTGGGGAACCAGCCCCTCTACCACTCCAGCCTCTCCCATCTGGGACTGCAGCACCTACCCCCAGGATCGTCCACTGCCGGTGGAGCCAGGTATCTTGTGTGTGATTGAGGGTGGTTTTGTCAGCAGCCCTGGGTTTCTGCTTTTATGTAGCTGGAGGCCTCACCCACATACCTGCAGGCCTGGCACCTGCCCTTTGGTTATTCTGCTGTATTGTCTCAATCGCTTGTGCCACATGATGCTGGGGTGTCAGACAGCCTTATGGCCCCACCAGATGTGGTACTGAGTGCCAACAGATGCCACATAGGTTAAAAACAGTAATCTTTTTATTACTTAGGGGGACAGAATGTATAGAGCAAAGTTACAAACCTTTGGCTGTGTGGGTGTGCCACATACCTGGTGCCACGTACCTAGCAACATTTGGCAGACTCCTCCTGTGTACTAAGCACTAAGAAGATTCAGTCCTTCTCTTGAGCCCTTGTGGTCTTGTCTAGGGGACGGATGTGAGCCCAGTTTGGTGCTTAGAGGTTGGTTGGGAGAGCCTAGAAGGCTGGGTGTGCTGGGTGGCATGGTCTAGTCCAGTGTCTCAGAGCGATAAGAGAGATGATGAATAGGGCTTGTCCAGAGTGGGTGACACTCAAAAGTGAGACTGGCATGTGAGTGGGGACTTGTGAGTTCTTGGAGACCCGCCGCTGACATGCAGAGTGGCTTGGGTAACACTTGGAAATTCAGACTGTACGCTGGACTGGGGGCTGCTTCTGGGAGAGGGATACCTGGGCAGGTAGTGACTGGACAGGTAGGCCTATGGTTGCCCTGTTCCCTGGAGTCACTTAGTTTGGGTTGGTGAGTTAGCATCTTAGTGCCACCTTGTTCATTAGCATCATCCCTGCCCACTTGGCCACATTAAGGGCTGAAGATTCCCAAGGTGACTGAGACTTCCTTGGTAGCTTCTTGGGCCTCTAGTTATTTTTTCCAAGGTAGGTTTCAGAGCACCTGTCAGCTTCTAGATGACCTATTAGCAGAACTGCCATTCACTGGGCACACGTTACAGCTAGCCCTTGTTGAGCAGCCTGCCTAAGTGAGTTCATTAAGCCTCATAACAACCACATGGTAGGTGGTTTCCTCAACTTACAGGTAAGCTCACTGAGGCTGATGAGGCTGGCAACAGTCAAGTGGCAGATCTGGGATTCAACCCAAAACGCATGGGAGTTCCTGAAGCTCTTTTGAAGGCAAGTGAGAAGAGGGAGGGAGTGTGCTGAGGGAGGAGTCATATAGACAGGAGGATGAAGGACTCTAGACTGGTCAGGGCCTCTTCTGGGAATTGGGGCAGGTGGATCTGAGATCTTTCTGGGAATTGAGAGTATATGGAGATTCCCTGTTGGCATGCTGTAGACTTTTGGCAAGGCATAAGTAAGCAGGACTCTGTCCAGTCCTCTCCAATCTTTAGGCCAGTCTCTCAGAGAAAAATGTGCTATTTCTTTCTGCCCAGAATGGTTATCAACAGGACTGGAGCTTATATTCAGTCTGTATCACCTGGCCTCATGGACTTCAGTTCTTGCAAAGGATCTTGAGGCAGATTTTCAGGAAGTTCTGGAACTGAGAACTAGGATGGAGCCAGATAACTTAGTGGGCTTTGTTTCTTTTTTCTAATACAAGGCTCCCATTAGTCTCTTGGATATTCCCCTGGGGTCCCCCTTTCCCAGCCTGTGGGCCCAAGAGACTGCTGATGTGGGCCTTGGGGCACAGGCCAGGCAAGTTGCAGGAAGGGGGGAGGGAGGCTGGGCAGCCATTCCTACCTTCTTGCCTGTGCATGTTGCTGCTCGCCCTGCGTTATGAGCTAGGGGAACCAGGCCAGCCGGCTCTGTTAGTTGAAACAGCCTCAAAGGGGCCTGCTTCCTGAGGTGGTTGTTCATCTTGTTCTCCTCCAGCTTTTCAGGAGCTGGGAGGGGTGTAATTCACTTGCATGGGCCTATCCTGGCTTTGAAAAACAGGGTTCTCCATGTCTCATTTGTGGTGGACCCTCTCCACTTAGCTTGTCTATGATGGGTGTTATAGAGCCAGGCATGGCTTAATAAATCCCTGACCTCTTAACCAGCAGGGCTGGGAGGATGAGGACACTCTGCTTCTTGATCTCCCTAGGGGCTGTGGTTTCTTTCTGAAGCCAAGTGAAAGTCAGCAGCATTAGGTGAAAGTTACCATTGTATACAGGAGTTGTGGGCCCTGCAGGGCCAGGGGCTAGGAGAGTCTGGGAACCTTGTGCTTTAGTGTTTACGGGTAACCACTAGAAATAACATGTGAGCCAGTGACATAAAAATTGGTGGAACCCATGTGGGGTTGTTTTGGGGAACCCATGTGGTTTCACATCACTTCTTGCTCAATCTGGGTAAAACCTGGGTGATTGATTTCCTTGTGCCTGGGAGACTTTCTGAGTAGGCAGTGACAACACAGGGAAGGTGTGACATCTGTCGCTGAGCTGCTGGGTTTAAGTAAATTTCTGATAGCTGAAGTCTATCCCTCTAAGCACCAAAACTCGTGTTTAATGATGTTGAATGAAAAATTTCCCCAAATGTGTCATGCACATTCTCGTCATCTTTAATAGAAGGGTGTGCGAACCCAGTTGGTGCTTTGACAATGGGGAGGGGGTGATGAGTATGACCAGCAGCCTGTGGCAGTTCCATGTGGCTCTGCCACGAACCTGCACCTTGCCCCTAATGACAAACCTAGGAAATTGCTGTCCCAGTGTGCTTTCACCGGAGCTGTTCTTGCTGCTCTGTTCTCCCTGCCTTTAAAAGCACCTGCCTCCACCAGCAGCATCATGATGGGGGTCCTGGGTTCCAGTGGGCTTTCCGCCTGACCACTATGTCATCCCTTGGGTCAGCTCTTCATGCCTCTCCATCTTTCTTTTCTCCTAAGATGTGGGAGTTGGGCTGCCATTTTGCTGTGGTTTGGAGGATTTAATGAGGGCCTGGTGGGATGGTGTCTGCTGGCTCTTCAGACTTTCCTGCACTCCATTCTGCTTTACATTGAACCTTACAACCACTCTGGGGGGCTTTTGAAATTATTCTCATTTTATCGATCGAGAAATGGAAACTCAGAAAGGGGACTTGACTATGCCCAAGAACACTAGAAAGTGGGGCCTCTCTTGTACTGCACAAGCTCTCAGAGTCTTCCAGGTCATGCTGGCTATCCATCCTGAATCCTGAGGTTATGGGGAGGAAGGTGCCGGGGGAGGGGGAGGCTTTGAACTTCTTCACTTTGTAGCCTCCTATCTCTGCCCTTTACCTGGGACTGTCAAATCCCATCTGAGGAGTAGGGAGTTCCAGGATGATCCCAGATGGGACAGCCAAGTGGGATCTAGTAGGTAGACCCAGGAACAGGGAAAGCAGGAGGGGTACCCAAAACTATGAATGACTATAGGGAATTCTCAAGAAAAGGTACTTTCTGGGGCAAACAGTGCCCCATACAGGGGAACATTCTGCAGTCCAATCCCACAGAGAATGATAGAGAGGAGTCAGTGATATCTGAGTTTCTGTCTACCCTGAAAGTCCTGACCACAACAGGGCAATGTTTGGGAGGGGGCTGGGATATGTCTTAGGAGCTGTGGTAACATTGTGACAAGCCTGTGCACTTTGGGAAGCCTCATTGCTTGTTGGTGGTGGGCCTAAAACTAGGCCTTTTCCCTCAGATACATTTCTCTTCCCTACTTCCTAGACCCTCTGATCACTGATGCCCAGCCCACAGAGGAGCAATTAATTTTGTAGTGTTGTAGAGTCAAGTTTTAGTTTCCTGACTTCCCAGCTAAAAGCTCATGTTCAATGCTCCCCATGAGTTGACTTGGGAGGTGAAGGATGCTTGAATAGGCCGTATCTGATACCTTACTTTCAGAACCTGAGAATTCCCTGCGTGAACATTAGAGATGATTTACCTTTCTTAAAACAAAACAAAAACAAAAGGAGAAACAGGCTCAGGAGGCATCGGCGGGGTTGCTCCATATTGAGCAGTGTACTGGGGCCAGAACCTTCTCCCAGGTGTCCTGAACATCCAGCCCTTCTTCCATGGCATCATCGGAGTTCAGAGGAGATGAGAAGGGCAAGAAGCTCGTGTTTGAGTAGCACTTCCACACAGGTTATTCTGTAGGGGAGAGCAGTTCATAAATGAGAATATGTGAATCTCTTTTTCCACTCAGACAGACAGTGGTGAATGTGCAATGCTCAAGGCCCTCCTGTCTTCAGCATCAGCTGAGTATGAGGTTGCTGCTTCAGGTCCTTTTAGTTTCCACCATGGGATCTGTGACCTGCGGTTGGTGGGAGGGAAGAAATCTGGGGTAGCTTCCAGAAACATTTGCTCTAAGTTGTTGGGTTGCTGGCAGCTGTAAGGTCAGCATAGTGGACCGGAGCTGTCCAGCATTTCATAAGGACTTTCCCAATTCCTGGCTCCAGGCTGGGCCCAGTGGAACAAAGATGAGTGTACTCCAACCCTCGCCTTGGGGAACTCCGTTGTAGACATGCTTCCATGGGGGGCATGGGGTGGGGGAGGCACAGGAATGAGAAAAAAGAGAGCTGGCAGGTTTTTCAGGCCATCTCCGCCAATTTTTCTCCAGTACAGGAATCCTCTCAAGCCATAAGGATGTGAATTTGTTACCATGTTAAAAATTGGACTTAAGACCAAAGGAATGGTGCAGATGGTATCACTGTAGGAGTCAAACCTTTATTTTCAAACTAATTTGAGGTATCCTAAAGAGTTGCAAAAGTAATATGGTTTCCATGTCGTCCTCCCCCAGCTTCTAATGTTAACCTCTTTCATGACCACAGTTGTCAGAGCCAGGAAATTACCAAGGCGTCCAGTTTAGTTAAGCTAGTAAACTGATCCTCACTAATTGGTTTCCAGCTTTCAGCATTTCCCCTGCTGTTGTTCTCCTGTCCTGGGATCCTATCTGGAATCCCATTCTGCACTTGTCATTTCTCCTTTCCTTCATTAGTAACAGTACCGTGTCTTTTTTAACTTTGATACTTTGAAGAGTTACTTCGTCAAATGTGCCTTAATTTCCTTGTCAGATACTTTCTCCTGATTGAGCTAAGGTTATGTAGTCTGGGCAGACGCCACAAAAACAGCTCTGTCCTCCTTGAAGTTTCGTTGCTTGAGGTTCCTGATATGATTTGTCCTGTTACTGGTGATGTTGTCTTGACTGTGGTGGGAGTGGTTTCTGCCCATTTCCCTTCTGTGCAGGGAGTAGAGTCTTCATTTGAAGGGAGCTTGTATACTCAGACTTTTAGGATTGTCTTCAGAGTCTCCTAGATGGCCCAGGATAACATTTCTTTGACCTCACAAAGTTTTATTCCTGATAACTTGTGAAAAGACGAGACTCCTAGCACCACAGTGTGCCTTCTTGTCACTGGTCCATCCAGAAGGCATCTCTGTCCTGCCAGCCCCCTGTGCTGGCTGCAAGTTTGACTTTCCTCCCTGGATTTTCTTAGATGGTGGCTCAGGCTCTGCGTTAACATCTGAAGTGTTCAGGTTCTCTAGGTTAGCTTGGGCCTGCGTGGTGAAATTCAGACAGCTGGGCTCTTTCTGGATATTTAGCAGGCTCTTTAATTTAAAAAACAGAAAAAGCCAAAGCTCTCGCTCACAAGGGCGGCGTGAGGGCAAAGTCGTTCACGGGTCTCGGCAGCTCTGGTGTATTCCTAACTGGGTGTTTCTCTGGCTCCTGTTCCCGCAGAGAGCCTTGCGCACGTTAAGCTTTGCTCTCTTTTCTTCCCAAGTGCCTCCCTTCCCAGCGGCCCTTCAAGCAGCCCTGGGAGTGTCCCCACCACTGTGCCCGTGCAGATGTCGAAGCCCAGCAGGGTCCAGCAAGCCCTTGCAGGTAGGCTCCTGTTCCAGAACAATCTTGAGGAGGGGAGAGGGAAGGGGATGATGCAGAAGGATGGTGGGGAAAGGGGGGAAGATTGTGGGGCTGGAGGCCTTATTACCTCTGTGATCTCATAGTTACCCAGAGTAACTACGAAAGGTTTCTTTTTAACTTATGGGAAATGTAAAATACACAGAAAGTTAAGACTAAAGAGTGCTAGTGAACCTCGTCATTTTTAGTTGAAGTGAGAGAATAAGATTAACTAGAGTTCCTGTGTTAGGTGAGTGGCTTTGGAGTACAGGAGGACGGGGGTGGGGGCAGGTATAGGCCTTGAGGCAGGGAGCTGCCTATGGAGCCTGACTTCATTTCTCAAGTAAGCCAGAGAGGCCTGATGGCAGCAGACTGGAGGGAAGAGCTTCATATTTTGTGAATGGCTTCCTGTGAAGATAGGAGGAGTAGGAGGAGGCTATCCAATTTTCGATGGTGGTACCATAATAAATCGTTAGTAATGAGAACTGACTAGATAGCTAGAGACTTTGCATGTTTGTTAACTCATTTCATTCCAGCAACAACTCTGTGAGGGAGGAACATTTATTTATATTTCACCTCTGAGGAAACTGAAGCAGAAAGAATTCCAACATTTCTCCAGGGTCAGCAGTCCTTGGAGAGCTGGGATTTGGCTTCAGAATCTGGACTTTTCCTCATCACACATTGCCCTTCTGTGTCTTGGAGGTGGGCATTTGAAGGAGTGAGGTGTCAACAGGCAGAGCTGGCCCAAGGCCTTGAGAGTTCGGGTGCGCAGCTCAGACGAGCAGTCTGGGGTGGAACGGGGTGGCCTTCCCCCATGTGAGTGTGTGTTCACAGGGACAGTGTGGGAATGGGAAGAGGAGGCCTTGAAGGAAATGGAAGGGCCAGAGAGGTGGTAAAGATAGGTGGTGAGGCCAGGAGATCCCACAGGGGAGACCCTGCCCAGCAGGTCCTCTGGAACCTGCTTCAGCTGCTCAGCCCTCAGCCTCTGCTAGGGCCAAGAGAACAGTAAGCAAATACATGACTAGAAAGTACCTGCCTAGTTTAGTTGTTGTGGCATCAGATAACATAGGTGAGTCAGACCGCTGCGTGTGTGGGTGCAAACATGTGCACACATGTGTGTGCTTGCATTTAATATGTGTGGCAGTGGTCTTGATAGAGAAAGATTATAGAGAAGCAGGCCGGCCTGCACATGACCCAGCTTTGCTCAACCCTTATCACTAGGGCTCCACCACAGATCTTAAATTAACGTCTAAACACATCTCAAACAGTCTGGGGACTGAGTAGTTCTTGCTCCCTTTCCTCTGCTCTTAAGGCTGAGGACACTCGAGGCTGTGTCCCAGATTGTCCTCAGTGTCCCTTTCTTGGTTCACAGAGCAATCCTGGAGGCAGACGGGCATTTTAATCTCTATTTTGCTCATTGGGGAAAATGACCCCCAAAGTTCAGAAACTTGGCCCCAGCCCAGACAGATTAGATTCTGTAGCCCATGACCATCTGCCACTTCTGAGCACAGGGCTCTGGTTGTACCTGGTGTTGGGATTGTTGTCTAGGGCTCCTGGGACACCCCTCAAGGAGCAGGACCTGGGCGATGTACATGGGTTCCTTCTAGAAAGTGCATGACTGCACTGAGGCGGGACTCGCTGTTAGGCTTACAAGTGGCTGGTTGTGCTGAGGAGGGACTGTGTACCCTTCTGTGCTGGCAGAGGAGGTCTATGGGGCGCCACCTCCATGCCTCCAGTGGCCTGGCCTGGCTCACTCCTTTGTGGACGTGGTGGTGGGACAGCCCACAGGCTTGGCTGGGTTCCTCAGCTTCAAGGGAGGGGGAGCTCTGCATTTTACATTGCTATAACCTGTTAAAGCTGTGTCAGCAGGGAAGGGCTGTGCTGGCTGGAACCCAGCTTGATAAGGCCAGTGCCAAAGGAGGAGCTTCTTGGATCTGAGCCCCGGGCACTAGACAGCAGGCCAAACTGCAGTGTCAGAAAGGTGTCTTGCAGGGACTTCACGCTCTTGGGCTCTCATAGATAAAGTGAGAATTTACTGCAATGAGAACAGGCCCCTCTACTGTGACAGGGGGTCTTAGGAGTTTAGAGGGCTGTTCTTTACCCTTTGCTGCTGGGGAAGATGTGATGGTGCATTCTTGGTGCCCCCCCTCTCACTCTGTCCACTGAGCATTGCTTCTGAGAAGTGTTGGGTATGAGGAATCCAGAACCCACAAGGAGGACCAAAGACTGGCTGCTTCTCTGCACGCTTCCAAGTTGAGGTACTGTGTCTGTGCCCCGAATTCAGGGAAACAGGTGTTGCATGGACAGTGGCAGGCTTCTTGGGATATCTTCCTTGGGGATATCTTCATTCCCCCAAAATGAGAGTCTGTACCTACTGTGCTCAGGTGCTGCCCTAGGGTTCGGTGGGGTGGGCATGGGGGTGACAGTCACAGAAAACAGATGTGAGCTCTTCTTGGGGTAAGGATATCACAGGCATAAAGGAGAAAAGCTTGGAGAAGAATGAGGCCTTTTCGGTAGGGTCATCGGGGAAGTGGGTCTTGTGGGAGGAGTCTGGAGAAGTGAGCAAATGGGTATGGGGCGGAGGTCAGCATGAAGTCCCAGGTTCTCCTAAGGAAAATTCTTCCTGTTTCCTTCTCCCCATCTTTCTGCTCCTTTTTCCTGCTTTTCATTCTGTCCTCCTGACACTTAATTCCCAAGGGAACTTGCATCTGGGTTTAGGGATAGCTGCAAGGCTCGGCCTTCGGAGGCACAGCTTGCCCTGTCCAGCACGGTTGTGTTGCCCAAGATGTTGGCTGGTTTGTGCTTCTCCCCTGACTGGGCACATTTGCCATCAGAGTGCCCTTGTTCTTCTGGCCTAGATGGATCCCAAGTCCCCAAGTCTAGACTTCCCTTCCCTTTCTTAGTCACCTTTGGAAGGGGCAGCTCTCTGCTTGGCTTGTCCTGGGTGGATCATAGAGCCCCATAGAGCCAGGGTTGCTGCTTCCTGCCCCACGCTGCCCACTCTGCCTGGAAAGCCACACTCCATGGCACAAAGCTTTGGGAGGAGGTGCTTTCGAGCCAGACTAGGGACAGGGAGGTTTGAGTAGGTGCTGTGGACAGCAGGGCAGGCTGGTCAGGGTGGAGAAGGAGCAGGAGGAGGAACTCTGGTAGTTTTACTTGCTGTGTTCAAGGAACCATTATCCTCAAAGTTCCAGGGCAGCAGCATGGGGTGAGGACTGGCCAGGCTGAGAAATATGGCCTGTGGGCACTGGGAAAATGGATCATCTCACCGTGGCTACCTGCTGCTTCTTTCAGCCCCTGCGGGCACACATGCCCACCCTAAGGCAGAGCGGCTTGAACCTGCTCTGAAGGCATCAGTGAAGGAAGGTGTATTCCAGGACCTCTGCTGTTCCAGAGGAGTGGTTGCAGAGACACCTTTGGGGAGCAGGCCCAGGAGCAGCATTCCTGTTTGCCCAACCCAGGGATGGCCTCGAAGGCACCTGGATAGCACAGTGCTGGAGACAGGGTGACCAGAGTCAAGAGGGTACAGTCAGGGGAGCAGGGCCTAGAGCTGTGAGTGGAGACCTGTCCAGGTCTTCATAGCTTGGCTGTGCCCTTCCATGTCACCCCTTTTGCTCTCCTTCCTGTGCCTGGCACAGGGAGACACCCCTGAAACTGCTTAGGGGCCTCCTGAGTGGCTCTCCCTTCTGCCCTCTTGAAGCCAACATGCTCTGGGTGGTGGGCCAGTGGGTTGCACATATGGACACTTGCAGGACTTGGGGCAAGGTTCTGAGGAGCCAGGCATTTCACTGTTCCTGACCAGAAGCTTAGTCCAACTGGCCTGGCTGGGCCCAGACAGCCCCTGGTGGTTGGAGTCTGTGGGAGATCGGTGGGTCCTGAGGCTGTTCAAGTGCCGCCACCTGGATGTGGCCAAGGTTTGTGGATGTCATGTGCTGTATGACTCCTGCTAACGTTTCTCCCCTCTCTGCATGTCTGATCTCGCACCCCGTGTAGGCATGACGAGTATTCTGATGTCAGCCATTGGACTCCCTGTGTGTCTTAGCCGCGCACCCCAGCCCACCAGCCCTCCCGCCTCCTGTCTGGCCTCTAAAAGTCACAGCTCAGTTAAGAGATTGAGGAAAATGTCCGTGAAAGGTAGTTCCTACTCACAAATCCTCTCTGGCCTCTGCTAAGCCTCCTCCAAGTCTTGCTGCTTCTGACTGTCCCGCATCGAGCCTCTTCTCTGGACCCCCATGGTCCTTCTCTGCTTCCTTTCCCTGCTGGGGGATTGGCTCAGTGGCCCTTCTCCCTGCCCTGGGCAGCAGAAGCAGAGGTGGCCCCCTGGGAATCCACTTTCTGAGTAAGACCAGGTCCTGTTTTTCTGGCACAGTTGGAATGAGAGGGCTTGTCTTGAGGCCTCTGTGACTTTGTGAACACACAGGTGTGGCAGAGGCCTGGCTCAGGATGAGGGGGTGACTGTCTCTTCCACTAGGACCAATGTGTGCTTCAGGAAAGGCCTTTAGCCCACGTAGGGCTACTTAGTCTCTTGTGGTCACTGCTCACCCAGGGAGGAAGGGTTTCAGAACCATGGGAGATGTAGAGTTTTAACAGGACTGTGTGGCGGGGTCTGTGGGTGGTACATTCTGAAACTGCTGTTTGTGAAGCCAGCTGTGCCCTGTCATCGTGCGGACAGCCTGCGAGCCGGGAGTCCAGCTTTGGCTCAGCCCCTGCTGCATTTCGGTTTCAGCTCCTGTGCTCGGCAGCTTTGTGATCTCACCCGTGTCACTCTTCACGCACCGTGCTTCCTACTCAGCAGATTGGCGTGGGAGGGAAAGGACGAACACAGGTGGGGCTGCTCTCGTCATGGGCACCGTCACTGCACCGGAGGGAGGCCCACCCAGACCCCCTCCCAGCCCCAGCAGTCAGGGCGGCCCTTGGAGCCCCTGGCCTGGGCGGAAGAGATGGACTCTGGGCAGAGCCGGCCTCCAGCCACCTGAGCCTTTTGAGCTTATCCGGGGTGGGGGTGGGGGTGGGGTGGGGCCTATGCTCACCAGAGACCCATTGACCTTTCAGACCCTCTGGGGTTGATGGCCACTGACTGGCCCCCTTTGAGGAAAGTGCTCACAGAAAGCTGGACTCACCAGAGATGGGCCAGGAACTGGCCTCAGCAGATGGTGCCTGGTGTCCATCTGGAGACTGACTTGTGGTCTCCAATCTCTGTTCATTCTGAGGAGAGTCCCAGCCACCCAGTGCCAGTGGTCATTGTGCTTTAGCCTGGTCACTGGCTTTCTCACCACAGTGACCAGAGTTGGGGTTCTAGAAGAATGTATTTGGGGAGTGTGGAGGTGGGAATAGTGTGGGCATGTGTGTGTGTATATGGGGAGGGTAGTAAAGGCAGAATGTGGGGATGTGTGTTATTACGGGGTGTGATACAGGTGTGTGCGTGTGTATTTGGTAGATTTGTGAATGGGTGCGTGTACAGAGGTGGTGTTGGGGGGGTATTTGTATATATGGGAGGGTGTTGTGGGGCATCTGATACTTCTTTATGTCCATTACCACCTTGGTCAGTGTGAGGCCTCCCCATTTTAGATGAAGGGTTTGGTCACATGATTTGGTGCTGTCGGTGAGCACCAACCACTGCTCTGCTCCAGGCCTTCTCTGGTCTAGAGGGAGCTCAGCCATTGAGCCTTTGGCCTGAAGTCTCACAGCGCAGGCTGGTGACTTTAAGTTTGGGTTAAAATGAAAGTCAGCAATGACCTTGTGGCAGGATGAGGCGCTCCAAGGGTGGCTTTCTCAGGCATGCTGGGCTCTGACCTCTCCTTGGCTCCTGCACAGGTTTTGCCGCCTTCCTCTGGTCCTGCTGTTGCCCCTCCTGGAGAAAGCCCAGCTCTCTCTGGGGTGGGGCCTGTTCAGTGCAGGACCTACCCGCCCAGATTCATGCCTGAGTAGTATGCAGAGGAGCAGGGTAGGCAGGGAGTCCTTCCTACTACATCTCCGCTGCTTCCAGCTGTTGCTCATGCTGGGAGCGGAAGAGGCATGTAACTGACCCACAGTCCAGGGACAGGTATGAGAAGACTACAGTTTACCACCATTGTCAGAGTGATCTTTCTCTGCAGTGAGCAGGCACAGTGAGCGCTATGCACTCAGCTAGTAAAATTTCTCTTAATGAGACATTCGTGCAGAATGATGAAAGTTGAATAAAGTAACACTGCCAGAGTATGCAACTGAATAGTTCTTTTTGGAAACTGCAGTTTGACAATTTTGTGTCTTCCCAGGAACCGGGGTCTAGTTTCCTGACTAACTGTGCCCAGGGACGAGGCTGGGCCCACCACTGGCTCCTGGGGGCTGTGACTGCTGCTTGCCTTCCCCAGCGCTCCTGGCCTGGGCTGGATGGGCCTCCAGTGGGGGGGCCCACAGAGAGCTTTCGCCAGTCAGAGCTCTGGAGTATTCCTTGTCTGGCATCTCTTGCACACTAACCCTCCCTTCTCAACCCTCTAACATCTCTCGTGGCAACTTGGACTTTCCTTGGCCTCCTTCCTCTCTGATTTCAGTATCTCCAGTTAGTACTCCTTGGAACACCAGTTATGTTCTTCTGTCTTCTAGGAGTGACCACAAAGCCAGAGCCAGAGCAGGTGATAAAAAACTACACTGAAGAGCTGAAAACGCCCCCAGATGAGGTATGTGTCATGGGCAGTAGGTTGCTTTGGAAACGAGGGGTAACTCCAGATGAGGAGCACACTCACCTGTCCTGATGGAAGGCTACTTCCCCAGGTGCCGCTGAGTGCCAGGCGCCAGGCCTGGACCCTTGGGTTTAACCTCTCAGTCTCCCGTAGGAGGCAGGCATTGCTGAGACGCTTCAGCCATGGCGTCTGAGACCCACAATTCCCATCTTAACTCTGCCGCTAGCGAGCTGTGGTCCCAAGCAAAGCTTCTCTCACACAGGCCTCTGCCTCCCCTGCACCCTGTGCTGTCCAGGCCAAGTGTCCTGGAAACACGAGACTGAAGAGCCTGCCTCCCTCCCTGTGCTGACACTGGGGCAGGTCGAAGTGGAAGGACCTTGTCCAGGTGGCAGAACTGTGCTTTGCTGCTGTGGTGATAGCACCTGCTAGAACCCCGTGTCGTGTCAGCTTCGGTAGGACCTGAATTGCTGCTGGCCAGTGTGGGGGACTATAGGGCCACTTTACTCCAGCTCGAGACCAGGAGAATCTAGAGCAGGTGGGTTAAGCTCATTCGGCCGGCACAGAAGCAGTCTTCACTTGTCTCTCTTGTTCAAGTCTAGCACTTAAGAAAAATCTGGTTGGCAGAGGTTTGAACAAAACCTTGGCTGTCATGCTCAGATCCCCCAGGCTTCCTCAAGTCCTGTTTGTCCTCCCACTTGATAGCACTTAATCTGCTTCTTTCTCTGGACCCCTGTGTTCACCCAGCACAGCTGGGCAGCTGTGCCTCAAAAGGCTCCTCACCGGGCCGGCATCTACACAGGTAACAGCAGTGACCGTGAGGGCACCCCCTGCTTAATGCCCCTCAGTGGGCCCCTGACAGGGAAGCTAAAACTCTGACTTTGGAGCCTGGTGACCAGATCTTCCAGAATCTAGTCCTCTCCCCTGTGTCTTCTCATCTCCTATGCCCCTTCCCCCCTGCCCTCTGTAGGTGCCAGTGTTCCTCCTCAGGTTACTATTTCATGCTTCAGAACATTCTTTCCTCTACCTGGAGCGCTGTTCCACGCTTGTCCACCTGACAGGCCTTCTCTTGTGGAGCCAGCTCTGCGGCGCCTCCTGCGCTTTGCTCCCTGCTGCCCGTGTCTGTGCTGCTCCGGCAGTGGCCCGCACGCAGGGCTGCCTGTCACGCCTCTTCACTCAGTCCTTGGAGGACACAGCTCACTGTGACTCATCTGTGTTCCCAGGCTCAGGAACTGACTGTTGAATTGACTTTGACTGTAATTCCAGCATTTCAGCAAACGAAGGCCTTTTCCTAGGAGACTCGTCTTGCTGGGCACAGCCGGCCGTTGACGAGCGTTCTCTGTTTGGTCCCCTCCAGGACTGCATCATCTGCATGGAGAAGCTGTCTGCGGTGTCAGGGTACAGTGATGTGGCTGACAGCAAGGCCATTGGTCCCGTGACCGTGGGCCGCCTTGCCAGGTGCAGCCATGCCTTCCACCTGCTCTGCCTGCTGGCCATGTACTGCAGCGGGAACAAGGTGCCCATGCCACTGGCCCAGGGTGGGGGCTGCCACGTGAGGATCTGGGGCAGGCTTGGAGGCAGCCCCGAGAGGCTCCTAGCCCTTGCCCCCCCGGGTGGGGGTCAGCAGCTGGGGTGGCATACGACGCCTGACTGCTCCTCTTTCAGTGGAGTTTAGTCAGAATGGACAGGGCTGGGGGTGCAGAGAACGGAGTCACGCGGCAGGCTGTTAGGCCGCTTTGTATCCCCCACTGGTGTCCCTGTGCCACCCTGTACTAGCCAGGGTGCCAGCATCACTAGGTAATCTGGTAGAGGGTTTTGTTTGATTTTAAATGTGATTATTCTGTAGAGATTTACTCAAACCTGACTTCCCTCCCTGATACCAGTCTCTAGCTACTTCACCCATTAATGAAAATGTCTTCATGAGTTTCCAGTGCAAAGCTTGCCTTTCAAAGGAAGTGATTGGAATTGAATTTCTGTGAGGGGAGGTGGCCTGAGGTTCCTGTGGTGACAGGACCCACTCCCTGTCCCTGCTGATGACAGCAGTTGACCGACTTCCTGGTGGGCCTCTTTCCCATTTAGAAGGCAGGTGGTTGTGCTTCCGTGGTCTCTCACAACTGCTGGCTCAGTCTACATTATGCCTTGTCTCAGGATGGAAGTTTGCAGTGTCCAGCCTGCAAAACCATCTATGGAGAGAAAACTGGGACCCAACCCAGGGGGAAGATGGATGTGTTCCAGTTCCAAGTTTCCCTCCCTGGCCATGAGGACTGCGGAACAATACTCATAGTTTACAACATTCCCAGTGGCATTCAGGTAAGGGACCCTGTTCCCTGTGAGAATTCCCAGACTGCTAGGCTCGGTTTCCCAGAAACAGGAGACACTAGTGCTGGGGCCTAGGAGTAATCTCTTAGAGCTGTGGAGGCAGAGAGGTGGCCCTCGGTTCTTTCCTGAAGGGAGGGCTTCCTGGAGGTGGAGACATCCTAACTGAACTTCTTCTTGGCAGAAGACCACATTTGTAAGCAGGAAGAACTATGTGTTAAGGGCAAGAACTCTTTGTTAGGGGCTGGATAAGTGGGCAGCCCCATGACAGCTTCCTGGGGCAGAGTCGGGGTCGGGAGGACTCCTGTCCTTGAGAGATACAGGGCTAGGTTAGGCAGCAGGGCCAGATCTCTGTAACATAACCACTTGCAACTCCATGTTCCACTCACCTGTGGCTTCACTCCCATCTGGAATGTTTTCTAAATTTGACTGTCCTGCGAAAGAAGTATAGGGAAACCAGGCAAGAGCATATGATTCAGCAAAACAGAGGGCTGTCCTGTCTAGTGCCAGGCTTTAGCAGGGCACCTCAGGAACCAGAGGGAGTTCCTCTCTGGCACTCTCATTCCTGAGGTCTGTGTTCTTTCTTCAGGGCCCAGAACACCCCAACCCTGGAAAGCCATTCACCGCCAGAGGGTTTCCTCGCCAGTGCTACCTTCCTGACAATGCCCAGGGGCGCAAGGTAAAGGTCTGGCCGCTGACTGTGGGGAGGGCCCCTGGGCCAGTGGGACTGCACCTGGCTGCCAAGTGGAATGCCAGGCGGAAGGGTGGGTGCGGCTGGCCTGGCACTGGAGACCTGGTGACCACACTCACATCTCCCCCTGTGCACCTTCTTACTGCTGCAGGGGTTGGGGGGTGGTCCCTGGGGACTGACTGGGGCATTACCGGTTCTTCTGGAGGCCTCTATGGGTCAGGCAGCCTCAGGTGCCGGGGATACAAGGAAATAGGATCTGGTGTGCCCAGCACTCACTGGCTATTGGGTTGGGTCATGTGCTTTTCAGTCAGGTGAGCTGGGGGCTGCCTTTGCACTCACACCTGAGTTAAGACTTTCCAACTTTTGAGAAGGCAGGGAAGAACATTCCAGAGAAAACAGCTAACTTTTGACTTGGAAATGGAAATGGCTCCGGTGTGAAAGAGGAAGGACCAGGCCTGTGGGTGGAGTGAAGGCAGCTCATTGTGGGAACAGGGCTTTTTCTTTTAAGTAATAGTTTATTTTTACATCATTTTGTGCCTTTTTCCATCTCAGTTGTAATCCCCGTGGGCTTCCCATCACCAGATCACCCATGTGCCATCACCATAGTCCAGTGCACTTCCCCCTCGCCCCCCATTTTTGATCCCGTTCTCCACTCCACCCCTAGAACAGAGCTTTTTAAGAGCACTCTGTCAGTCCAGGAGCAAGAGCTGCTGATTGGGTTTGAAAATCTCCCTTGGGCTGCAGGGCCACAGGTGGCCTGGTGGAGAGGTGGAGAGCAGAAAGGAGGAGGGAGGAGCTTGCCTAAGGTGTTTTCAGAAGTGGGGCGGAACCAAGATGGCTTGGGGTTTGGCTGGAGGAGCTGGCAGCATGCTGAGGTGAGAGGCCTGCACATGGGAGGCAAGACAAGTCACAGGCAAGTCAGGGGATGTCCTGCCAGGCTATTAGGGTGGCAGTTGGGGTTCCAGGGAGTCAGAGCTGGAGTTCAAGGCTGAGGACCCTCACTGATGGGGTTTCAGGCCCAGGGGCTATAGATGAGATCTTCTAGCAGGAATTAAAGTGGAGAGAGAATGACCCCACACCCCAGTCCTGCCCACGGTTAGCAGCGCAGGTGTATGGATGCGAGGTGAGTGCCCAGTGCTACACTGCCCACCGCTGCTATCTGGCGGATGCTTGTGGCTGCTGTCCCTGACCTCCGGGCAATCCTCACCTCCACAGCAGTCTTACATGGGGGGACAGTGGATGCCCCCACCCTCTGCTCCAGGGGTGAAAGCCAAAGAAGACACAGCCAGCATATTCACCGACCTTCCCTTTCTTCCTCCTCTCCTTTTCCATCCTCTCCTCCTCTTCCAACACTGCCACTCGCCGCCACCACCACTGCCAGGTTCTGGAACTGCTGAAGGTGGCCTGGAAGAGGAGACTCATATTCACAGTGGGGACATCTAGTACCACGGGCGAGACGGACACAGTGGTGTGGAACGAGATCCACCACAAGACAGAGATGGACCGAAATGTCACAGGTCATGGCTACCCTGACCCCAACTACCTGCAGAACGTTCTGGCAGAGCTGGCCGCTCAGGGGGTAACAGAGGACTGCCTGGAGCAGCAGTGACTACCTGGCTGGCCCCGTTCCCCACTGTCATGCTTGCCTCTGGCACCACCAGGGCAGGGCTGCCCCTGGGATGGGCCGGCGGGAAGGTGCCTTTTGTGAGGGGTTGGGATGTTTGTCAGGGACACAGGCACGCACCACTGAAAGCTGGAGCTTCTCCTGCCTGCCTTTCCTCCACCGCCCCCTTCAGGCCTAGATCTTGTGGGAACTGGGCAAGACTAGGGAGTTGTACTTGGGCTTAAGAGCAGCTACCTCAGTCACAGCCTTCTGTCTTCAGTGGGCGGCCTGGGCCCTCAGTGCCGGGGGCCTGGCGTGGGGCCAGGAGAAACTGCTCCCTCCCCAGCCAGGGGCAGGTTTGGGTCTGGATCAGCTTCTTATACCTCAGATGTTCTGTTTGCAATAAATGCCCTCTAGCCAAAGTCACCAGTCCCTGGTGTGTCTGTCAGTGGAGACTGTGTTGGATCCAGGTTGTGTGTGTGAGAGGGAACTGGGGTACATGTTCTCTGGGGTGTGTCTGTGATCTGGTGTGTGAAGGCCAGCACACGCATATCCTGCTACATTGGAGCAGGAAGGGGGCCTCATGGCTGCCCACTTGACCCATTTCCTAAATGAAGTTGTGGCTGTGGTGAGGGTCACAGAGCCCTGGGCACTGACTTGAGCTGCTCCCACCTCTACCCCCATCTCCCCTGCGGTTCCTCTGGCCTCCCCAGGGGTCTGGTCTATATTGGTCTAGATAGTGCCACATGGACCGGAAGCACCTCTCTCCATTTCGCAGCTGGAGGAATTCAGGTTCCAGGCTTGGGTGGAGTTAAGGCTGGAAGCCGAGCTGGGACTGTCTGAGGCCATCCTCAAAGCCGTCGTTCTCGACCCTTCAGAAAGAGGATCAAGTACTCTCAGATTTGCTTTCTGCCTGGGGCTGGAGGGACACAGGGCCAAGTTATGCCTGGACCCTCTCTCCATAAGAGAAAAAACTAAAAATTCTATTTTATGATTTATTGGTATAAAGGTGACTGTAAGAGTTTTTTTCTTTTTGCTCATCTAAATTTTCCTTCTGATTCCAAAAGAAACTAAAATGTTGTGGCTTCTGGGCACCGTGCCCACTCTACCTCCCTAAGGAGGTAGGCAGGTCTAGATAGGAACCTCACTGGGTCCCACCATGAGATATGATACTGACAGCACAGGAGTTGGGGTGCAACCCTGGGCCCCACCACCGTTGGCTCAGTTAAAGTCTGGCAAGAATCAGAACAGGAAACATTTGCAGGTTGTGCACCTGATAAGGCTCTGATATCCACAATGCAGAAAGGACTCTAATTCAGCAAAATGAAAAATGGGTAAAGCACTCAAACAGCTTCTCCTAAAGAAGACTTACAAATGGCTGACAAGCACAAGCAAACTGCGGGGTGTCGTCAGGGAAGCACAAAACCTCAGCAATACCACTTTACACTCAGGGTAGCTATTACTGAAAAAGAAAGGAAAGTAGATGGTTAGGATGTGGGGAGGTCGGAACCCTCCCCCAGGCACAGAGAATGCGAAACAGCTACTTCTTCGGTGGTTCTGCAGAAAATAGCCATCATGTGACTCAGCAATTCCGCTTCTAGGTACACATCCTAAAAACATGTCCTCACACAAACTTGTACCAAATATTCACCCCAAAGTTACTCATAATAACCCAAAAGGGGAAACAGCCCAAATCCATCAGCTGGTGAGTGGATAAACAAGATGTGGTGCATCCAGACAGTGGAATATTCCACCAGAAAGGGAAAGGCTTACACACGGGCACATGCAGGCAGAGGAGCCAGACAGACAGGACACATAGTGTGGTTCCATTTACCCGGATGTCTAGACCAGCAGGCAAGTCCGCAGAGGCGGAAAGTAGGCAAGTCGCTGCTGGGAGGGGGTGGGGGGGGAGTGGCTTCCTGGGTAACAGTTTCCTTCTGGGGTGATGAAAAGGTCTGGAACTAGTGGTGATGGTTGCAGGGTCTTGTGAGTAAACCACAGAGCTGTTTGCAGACTTGAAGAGGATGGATCTTAGTGATGCAAGTTTAGAGTAGAACACTAGGATGGATCTTCCCCAAGGTCAGAAACCAGAGTGGGGCTACAACTGATTAACGCACCATTAGCATGGCCATGGGGGTCCACAGGACAGAAATAAGGTGGGGCTGTGGCAAGTGGTGGGTCATTATAAAGAGGAGCTCCAGCCTTTGTCCGATGCCAGTCAGAACTCAGTCGCGAAAAATTCCACAATAGATAAAATCCCCAAAGCAATGAATCTTCCCCCCAAGGAACACTACAAAAGGATACCCCTTGCTCTGGCGAAATGCAGACCTTGCCATACGCTGCCCACCTGTGCCCCTTTCAAACGCAGCTCCTTGCTCTTTGTCTCTGCAGTTACTCTCCTTAATAGAACTGCAGTCTGTCTCTGAATGGGGGCTCTGCTGAAATGGTTCTCAGAGGAACCCAAGAATCACACTTGATGGAACCCCAGCACAAGGGCATGTGAATATCTTATTTTAAAGAGAACCAAGGGGAGAATGTAAAGGCAAGGGCTGTCCATTGCAAGGGTGGGCAATCCTGGCTCTGACTCCAAGTTCTAGGGTGAAGGAAAGCAGAAGTGGGAGAGGGTGTGGCCTTGCACAGGGCGGGCAGCACACAGCTGGCAGCAGGCCAGGATGCCTTGATGGGGCTGGAGCTGGACAGGGTGGGGCCGCCTGCTCGGCTGCAGCTCCCTGGGTAGGGACGGAAGGTCACTCACTGGGCGGCTCCTGGCACTTGGGGTACAGGAATCCCAGGCATGCAGCCCTGAGCTGTGGGGCCCATCGGCATGGGAGTGCAATGGCCCCTGTCCCTCAGCTCTGGGACCTGCCCCCCAACTAGAACCCCAGCCAGCCAGTGCCCTCCCAGAGGTGGGCTGGGCTGGGGGAGGAGAAGGTAAACTTACATTTTCAGGTCTTTCCAGCTTTTGACCAGCCTGACTAACCAGCTCCTCCAGGCCCAAGGTGTTGGGGGAGGGGTGCAGCAGGAGGTGGCCAAGCTCACTGTGGCTGTGGAAGAAGGCCATCATGGGGTTGCCCCTGAGGTGGCCTCTGCCGTGGATGCTGCTCCCTGTGGTGGTACTGGCCTGGTCCCAGCTCTGCAGGAGCCTGGGTGAGTGGGAGTCCCACGATGGATGGACTTAAGGGGCTGGGGCACCTGCTGCAGTGATTGAGCCTGGGAACCCAACCCATCAGATTGGGAGGGGCAGCCCAGGGGCATCGGCCCCAGGGCCCTCACCCTGTCTCCATGGCTGCAGAGCTGATCCCCTACACGCCACAGATAACGGCCTGGGACCTGGAAGGGAAGGTCACAGCCTCCACGTTCTCCCTGGAGCAGCCGCGCTGTGTCCTGGACAGACATGCCAGTGCTGCCGACACCATCTGGCTGGTAGTGGCCTTCAGCAACGGTGAGTCTTCACCTCACCGTCAGGTCTGGGTGGGGTAGGACTGAGGGTCTGAGCAGTCTCTCACTGTCAGCTGGGCGTGGGATTTATCTAAGGGAATTTATCCTGAGGGAATTCCCTTGGGAGATCCTGAGCTTCATCCTGAGCAATTCTACAGGGTGACCAATTGTACTTTGTCTAGAGGGGCTGTCTGGACCCTGAGGCATGGAAGGCCGGGGTTGGACCCAGCCCTACCTTCCTTCCCTCCCCCAGCCTCCACGGGATTCCAGAACCCACGGACGCTGGCCGAGATACCAACATACCCGCAGCTACGGATCTATGGCCACTATATGACCATGCCACTGTCCCTGGACCAGCTGCCCTGTGAGGACCGAGTGCGTGGTGGCAGGATTGCCCCCGTGCTGCGGGTGGGCAATGACCCCAGCTGCCTTCCTGACCAGTCACCCTTCTGCAACGCGCCTCTCCCTGGCCCAGGCCCTTACAGGTGGGTCATCGTCTGGAGGCTAGGATGAGGGCTGTGCTGGGAGAGGCAGGGCTTGGGGGCCAGGGCTGTCCCTTATCATGGCTTTGTCCTCTGCCCTTCTTAGCAGCCACTTTACAAGCCTTAGCTTCCTCTGTGGGTCGGGCCATCATCCCAGCTCCGGGACAGAAGCCAGCAAGGTCTGGCGCTGGCGGGGAGGGTGTCTGTAGGCCCAGCGTATGGGGCTGCTGGGATGTAAACCTGGGGCCCACTGGTCCCTCCCATGGGTGGATCTGGTGGGAAACAGCCTGGGGATCCAGTCAGGAGGGCATGAAGTAAGAAAGCAGGAGAGAAGACTCCCTTGCTGAGATGAGGAAACTCAGGTGAGAAAACTGAGGCACAGAACATTAAGTGGTGCATCACGGTCAGAACGCAGCTGGGTGGGAGAGCGCAAGTTCAGAACAGGGCTGCTCAGACCAGGGTAGGTGTCCTCGAGCACCAAACCCAGCTGGCAGAACCAGCTCCCCATCCACCCACCTCCCCGACCTCTCACCTAGCCTTGCCTGCGGCCATGCCCTCGCTCGGCCTCCAGGGGCACCTCCTGCCCCACCCCTGTCAGCCACTGGAGCCGACTGCCTCCCTGACCGCTGGCCCAGAAACTGTCCAGAGACCTCCCCCTGCACAGGTATAACCGGAGCCTGTCCTAACCATCTTGGTACCCCGACCACACCCCTCTCTGGGGCTCTACCCTGGATCTGGCCCTGAGTGGGGTGCTTCCACAGCCCCCACAGACTCCAGGCAGTCATGGGTCTCCTCTGGGAGGCCTGGGGCCCCCGAAACCAGAAGGAGTGTCTGGAGGTGGGCAGCTCTGATGAACTGGGGCAACTGATAGGGTCACTGTAACCTGAGAGGCCTCAGAGGGCCCTCAGCAGGGCCAGCCAGCAGTGGTCACTCTGCCGAGGGCAGCGAAACCTCACCACTCCACCTCTCTCTAGGGTGAAGTTTCTTCTTATGGATGCCAAGGGCTCACCCCAGGCCGAGACGAGGTGGTCCACTCCCATCACTCTGCATCTAGGTAGGCTGGGAGAGGGGCACTGGCCCTACTATGCTTCTGTGCGGTCAGCCTCTGCAAAATGGCCATGCGCAGCTGCCCCTTACCCTGCTGCCATAGAACTGGGGACCTGGAGGTAGTGTCAAGTCGAGGCTGCCCCTATAATAGAACTTTACACTGGGCAGGGGGCACCCAGCCTCCTCGGCACAGGCACTGGCTCCATCCATCCGCAAATGTCTGTTTGCCAGGCCTTGGGTGTCCAGGCCATGGAGAAAAACAGCCCTTCCCCTCCTCCAGGGAGTCAGCCCTGTGCCAGGCACTGCCAGATGGGAGGAGAAGGGGCTGTGACTTCTGTGGGTCTGTTCTCTTTAAGGCCCAGAGGTTCCCAGTGACTTACCAGGTCAGAGTGCCCGGGGTGGGGGGTGAAGGGAGGCTTGGGGTCTGAAGCCCTTGAACAGCAGGCCCCAGGGAGCAGGGCAGCAACATGGTTGGTTTAGACATCTGTCTGCAGGCATAGGGGTGAATAGTCTGGAAGGTGAGACCATGGTAGAAGCCGGAGCAAAGTGCGGTCTCATGGCTGACATGGTGGTTGGGTGTTTCAGGAGGCTGCCTGGGAACATGAGGCAGCCGGCCTTTGTGCACTCATGGGTGGAGGGGGACTGCCCTGCATCCCATGTCAGCCTCTGAGCAGCCACTGTGATGTAGGGAAGTCCCCACACTCCATCGACACTTGGCCAGGACGGCGAAGTGGGGACATGATCGTCATTGCCTCCATTCTCTCCTCTCTGGCTGGCCTCCTGCTCCTGGCCTTCCTGGCAGCCTCCACCACGCGCTTGTGAGTGTCAGCACCCCCCTGAGCCCCTGGGAGGTTTTCTGGTAGGTTCAGGGAAGGAGCACCATGCTCTGCCCCATCAGGAGGTCTGGCGTAGGCCCTCTCTCCTCAGACCTCGTCTTCTCTCCAGAATGCCCTCTGTCATTTCAGAGAATGGACACCAGGGTAGTCAGGGTGGCCACCTGGAGAAGATAGGCCTCTGGCTGGCTCTAGAAGGGCAGAAGAGGAGAGCAGAGGAGAGGAGGGCCGGGGAGGGGGAGAAGGCCCTGAATTGGCAGCCTGCCCACCCAGCAGGGACTCAGCCCCTCCTCTTCTCCCTGTCCAGCTCAAGCCTATGGTGGCCTGAGGAGGTCCCGGAACAGCTTCGGATCGGCTCCTTCATGGGGAAGCGCTACATGACCCACCACATCCCGCCCAGTGAAGCCGCCACTCTGCCTGTGGGCTGCGAGCCTGGCCTGGACCCCCTTCCCAGCCTCAGCCCTTAGCCTTATCTGTGCCTGGGGCTGGGGCAGTAGGGTGTATATGGGGGAGGGGGAGGGTAAGCCCTTGCACCCCACACCCCTCCCCAGTGCACCAGTGGCCTGGCCTTGGGCTTTCCCACTCCTACCTCTCTAGGAAACCAATGTTGCACTCAGGAGGGTTTGGGGAGGGGTGTGGTCAGGCTGGTTATGGTCCCCCACCTCTGCCTCTGCTCTGTGCTGCCTGGCTTCCTGCAAGCAAACTGGAGGCATGTGGAGAGGCCACCCTAATGGAAGTTTCCAGGTCCCAGGATGAGGCCTGCAGGGGGTCTTGCCTCTGTCCTGCACCAGCGAACTGGGCTGATCCAGCATGGGGTATACGAGACCTGAGCCTCCCTGGCCCGCCTGTGTCAGAGGCACCTCCACTGTCCTTGGGCACAGCTCTCTGTCTCTGGCCACCATTTTCCACCCCCATGCACATACAGATGGCTCACTCATTCACTCACATTCATCAAGCACCTGCTGTGTGCCACACTGTTAAGAGGCCTCCAGCATAGTCCTCACCTTGGGAATCTCACAGCCCTGGGCCTCAGGTGATCACTGTCCAGATGGGACCTGTGACTTTGGGGAGGCTGTCACACCCTCCCATTGTCACATGCCGCCAATATCACACCAGCCACCACAGTGGGCACTCTGGGGTCCGGAGCCCCCCACCACTAGGGAAGACAGATCAGACTACCCCTCGCCAGCGTCCGTGAGGCCCCTAAGCCATAGTTCTCATTTTGGCCACATGGGGGGGCTGCAGCGCTGCAGCCACATGACCCATGCGCATGCGCACTGCTCTTCACAGACCAGAGGGTCGCTGTTGGCGTGAGCTCCCGCTGGGTGATGACCTGATGTCTTAAGGCCTTCCCTACTCAGCGGGGTCTCTGGAGGTCAGTCCCTAACCTCACCTCTGTCAAAACAGTTATGCCTCCCTCTGAGCACCTACTGTGTGCCGTTTAATCTGCACAGCTGCCGGCATTTTCTGCGTGGGGAAGCAGAGGCTTGGCGACCAGTGTGTCAATCTTTGTCCACTGACCCCCAGCACCAGGCTATTAGGACCCTGCAACTTTACACGGCCCCCACCCTCTTTGGAAGTAAATAAATGGAATCTGACTCCTTTCGCAGATTGGTGCCCATGATGTCTGGGGAGAGGAGTTTTTTACATGCAGGTTCAGCCCCAAGGGCTACGCTGAGCCTGTCCCCCTGAGGGCTAGCCCTAATTGTCCTTTGAAGTTGCCCCATCTCCTGATGGACCTCAGAGAAGCCCACTGATGTTGCAGGGCCAGGAAGCCCCCCAGTAACTGAGCTTCTGTGGATTTAGGAAGCTCCTTCCCAGGCAAACACTTCAGGAGAGTCTTTGCTTTCAGAACCCATGAAACACTGGTCACTGGTGGTCACTGGTGGTCACTCCCCAACCCTGCCAGCACCTCTGACCACCACAGACCCCCTCTAGATATGGACAGAAGCAGATGCAGATGCAGTGAGCAGCCACCCTGGTGTCCGGGTGGACTCTGGGAGGGTCAGCCAGCCCCTTTGAGCACGTCCTTTTGAAATGCTGTTTTGGGGCCCAAGTCCCCTTGGTAACTGGGAATTGAAGGGGGCCTAGCCGCCATCACCATCACCCCACAGAGCCCTCTGCCTACTGTCCTGTCCAGACCCAGCTCTAGTGCTGGACCTGAGGACCTTGAAGTCTGGGATGCCTGGCTTGGGGTTTGTCCCAGGAGGGATATGGTGGGAGGAAGAGGGGCCCACTGGGGGTAGCTGAATGAAAACATGAACAAGCCAACCCAGGGCCAGAGGATCAGCCAAGAGCAGGAGTTGCCCCAGGCTTTTGTGTGTCCTGGGGCCCCACAGCTGTCTGTTCCTTAGTGCTGGAACCTGCTAACTAGTTGGGGCACAGCCCTAGTGATGCCCCGATTCCCCAACAACCCCTTTTCTGAACAGTCCCCAAAGGCGCCAAGGAGCTGCTCTCACCCACCACTGTACCGTGGGCTTGGCTGCTGAGTCGGACTGAGCACACCTCTGGTGGGGGGGTGAAGGCTGTGAAGCCCAGCTGGGGCTGCTGGGCGGATCCCCAGGAGGCAGGGCCCGTGGGGGTTCACAGGAGCGGCTTCTGGCTGAGTCTTGAGAGGCAAATGTCAGCCAGATAGAGGAAAAAGGGAGGAGGAGAGGGTACTTGGGGACACAGGTGTAAGCAGTCTTATCCTGCAACAGCACCAGGGTGTGGCGCAGGGACTGGGGACAGGGAGGCCGGCTTGGTCTTCCAGGCGGATGGAACTGGGAAGAGGGCTGGAAAGGCCACCATGGCTCCAGGATACTCAGGAGGTGATTGGGAAGCTGGGATTTCACTGATGTGGGAATGAGCCAGTTTCTGATTTGAGGATGGGGAGTGCATAAAAACAGGGTGTCTTATCTTTCCCTACCTGACTTCAGAGCAGATCCTCAGATTTCAGGCTCCTAGGGCATCATGTTAGGGGCTGGTGAGTGCCCCAAGGTCATCAACAAAGATGAAAGCCTGCGCTGGCCAGGGGAAGCTGGCCTGTGGCCCTCTGTCCTAGGCAGAGCTGGGCTTGCCGAGATGTCTCAGGATCCATGTGGAGAAGGCACTCGAGGCCAGCTCTCTTCCTCTGGGACCCAGGGAGTCATGCCAGGGCGTTCAGCTCCAGAGTTAGGGCGGGGGGGAGGGTCATCCACTGGCCCCCAGCCACGCAAGGGCCTTGCGCATAGCCGAGGTGGTGAGAGCCACAGAGAGGAGAATCTGCTTTTACAGTCTCCTTGGGACTGTGGCTGGGAAAGCGCCTCACATGAAAGTCATTGGCCCTTAACATAATTGCTCAGTGATTAAAAACAAGTTTATTGTTAAAGGGATAAACAGCGAGACTGGGGGGGGTGATGACTCGCAGATGAATCATCAAAGGAATCAAAACGCAGCAGCAGGTGGGGACCAGCCTCCCCCTCTGGGCTCTCTTTGTCCCTTGCTACCTCAGAGCCCTCCATTTCTCTCCAAGTTCCCTCCAGTGAGGCTGCCACCTTGGTCTCCTGCTGGAATGTCAGTCACTTCCCCTTGCTGGCCCTCCCATACTATATTTCTGACCCCACCCCTGTGCCTTTCCCAGCATCCTGGGTGGCCTGATGGTGCCTCTCAGCCTTGCTCACAAGCTCCAGAGACGTCATGCTGCAAGGACAGACTCCACATTCATCACCTTAGTCACAGACAAGACCCATCGCCTGCTCTCTGCATTCTGGGGGCCACAGGCCTGCAGCTACCCCCAGACCACCCCTCACAGGCCCTTTGCACTTGCTTTTCCCTCAGTGTGGAACTTTTCTCCACTTCCCTCCCCTTACTCTAGATCGTTCCTCGGTGCCACTGTAGCTTCTTTGGGGAAAGCTCTTCCCAACTGCTCAGTACTCCCAGAGGCCTATACTTTTCCTTCACAGTGTGTTTTCCATTTTCTAGTAGACATTTAAAATGGTGAACATTTGTATCTCCCCTACTAAACAGTGAAGCCAGGAGGGCAGAGACCATGTCTGGTTTGCTCCCAGGAAGGCCCAGAGCCAGCACAGTGCCTGGTTTCTAGTAGGTATTGAACAATTATTCATTGGCAGAATGTGTTACAAAAAGCAAATTTTTAAAAAAGATTTATTTGTGAATACAGATCTGGGGTACAGGCCAGAAGTGCAGGGGCAGTGAGAAGATTCACCAGAGACAGAATGGGGAGCAGAACAGGCAGATCAATGAAGTACACTGCTGAGGGGAGCAGCAGACAGGTCAGGAGAGGTCTGCCACGCCATGTGGGTCACCTCCTGGGGCAGGGATCGAACTCATGCTGAAATGACTTTAGCCTCGTAGTGCTGTGCTTTAACCCACTGCGCCACCTGGGAGGGCCCTTAATCCACTCTTGTTGGTATCCTTATAAGTAGAGATCAGGACATAGAGGCACCCAGGGATGCAGACAGATGTACAGACAAATGAACCCGTGAAAAAGTGGTAGGAGGGCGGCTGTCTGCAAGCGGACAAGAGAGGCCTCAAGGGAAAACCTTGATGCTGGACTCCTGGCCTCCAGGCTGACAAGTGAATGTTTGCTGTTGAAGTCACCCAGTCAGGGGCAGGGTGACTGCGCAGACAGACAGTCCACCCACCAGCATTAACAGAAGTGTGTCCGTCACCCTGCTGACCTTTAATGGGGGCTGGTAGGCAAGCAGTGGCAGTAGGGAAAGGCCGGCCGTGACATACCTGTTCACTGAGGCCTTCATAAAGGCCGGGAAGTGAGTTCCTCGGTCACTTGCTCACACTGGCATCTTGACCAAATGTTTTATCCCTGTAGCTAGAGGAACTAGAGGAAGATCCTGCAGTCCTTCCCCTCCCTTCTACCCAACCCCACCTCATGCCCCCACCCTGCCATCTCTAGTCCCAGCCTCAGTCCCTGACTCCTGGGAAACAAAACAGGACTTTAGGCTTCATCGGCTGGGTGAGCCCCACCAGGAAGCTCTGCCTACCTCCCTAGGCCTGTTTCTCCTCACAAAGTGAATGTTCAACCTAGAAGATCTCTATACTCATTTTGGCTCACATTTAGTCCCAGCTTCCCTGAAACCCCACTCCCTGTGGGTGAGGCAGGCTAGAGTTATCCACAGGAAAGAATGTGTTGCTCTGGACAACCATTCTTCTCCTGACTTCTCCCCCAGGGACTGAGAATGTCTTATTAATCATCCTGGCCTCTCCCGCCCAGCCTACAAGACCCCTCCCTGGGCTCCAAGGTGGAGGTGGCCTCCAGTCCCCACGAGTGTTTCATGGGAACTCTGGGTTCAGCTCTGACCCCAGCCCTGTGCCTGCAGCTCTGTCCCTATCTGAGTCCCACTTCCATGGGACAGGGCCAGTGGGAGGGCCCTTAGGGCAAGAGGCAGGATGGGGCTGGGCGTAGGGGACTGAGAGTGGACTCAGGCCTCAGAGCATCTTCTTCCCAGAGTCCTCTGCTGGCCTGAGCCTTGTTGGGACAACAGGGCAGCAGTAGGACCCCAGAGGAGGCATTTGGCCCAACCTGAGGAATAGGGGCACAAGGGGGACTTCCTGGAGGAGGTGGCCTCTGAGCTGGCACCTTTACTAAGAATGGGAGGGTGGGGAAGAGGGAATCAAGCATCACTGGGGATTCATTGAGAGACTTAGTTGACTGGGGTTGGGGGTGGGGGCTGAACTGGGGGAGGTCTAGAGCATGAGGTAAAAGCCATGGTTGGGGCAAAGCATGGAAGACACTGAAAGCCTCCCTGGGGAGCTAGGAAATGCAGGGCATGTTCAAGCGAGTGAGGGCAGACTGGGTCTCAGGACCTCAGTGGCTAACCAGGGAGAGACAGACAGGGAGTGGTGAACCGGCCAGGTGGCCTAATCTGGGCCTTGAGAACTATCTCCCATGAGCACCCCCAGCTGCCCCAGGGCCATGCACAGGGGGCTAGAGTGCCTGGTAGGACCCCCCCTTCCCTCCCACCCCAACACCACTGAAGCTGCCTGCTGGGCCCCCAGGCACCTGGCTTGGGGCAGAGAACTTCTCAGCTTCAGCAGACTGTGTCAAGCAAGGAACCTTCTTCCAGAGCTGGGGTGGAAAACAAAGTTAGGAGGCGCCTCTCACCTGGACCACTGCAGCAAGATCCTCATGAGGCACCCCTGTCAGGGATCGGCCCCAACAAGCTGTCAGAGGACAGAGCCTTTAGGTGGGAAGGCATCGTTGTGCTGAGATTCCAAAAGGGGGAAAGGGGAGTGGGCGTGAGGAAGACATGGGAGTTGGAGTTGGGTGCAAGTCTTCCTGCCCATTCTTTTTAGCAGGTCTTTACTTATACTGCTCAGCAAGTTGTTAGTTACAATAATGCATTAGGTAAGTTAATAAGAAATCAGCATAAAAGTTCTCAAGGAAGAGTTCCCTACGACCCAGCAATCCCACTCTTAGGTATCTACCCAAAAGACACAAAAACACTGATTGAAAAAGATACCTGCACCCCCATGTTTATTGCTGCTTTATTTACAATTGGAAAAACATGGAAGCTGCCCAAATGCCCAAAAGTAGATGACTGGATTAAAAAGATGTGGTGCATATATACAATGGAATATTACTCAGCAATCAA